GGCACAGTAGTTCTCAATTTGGGTGATTCTCTCGCCTCCACTCCCACCCCGTGACATCTGACAAGGTTTGCATTTTTTTTGTCACTACTGGAGAAGTGTTATTGGCATCTAGTAAGTAGCTAGAGGCCAGGGATGCTGGTAAACATAGTACAATGTGAAGGAGAGCCCCTCAAAGAAATAAAAATCCAAATTACAATAATGCCAAGTTTTGAGAAATTCTGATCATTTGCCTCTCAAATGAAGCTACCAAAAGTATGGAGTTGTGGTCCCCAAAGTAAACAGAACGGAATTAATGTGTCACCTCTTGTCAGGAGAATCAATTTTTACTTCCAGATTGGTGGGGTAGGAAGAAGGAGAAATCCTCTTTATACTGCATATAAGACAAATAAAACACAGGTCACATGAATAACTAAGATTTTTTTTTTTTTTTAACTCAAAATAATGTGAACAGGAGCAACTTCAGGCTTTACTCCCCAACCTCAGGGGATACTTATTTACTTTCCTAAGCCTACAAATACCTTTGAAGTTAAGAAATACTCGCCTAAATAAAGTACATAAACTTTAGAATGACAGGCAAAAACTCATCTTTAGCTTCATTTAGATTTGTAGGGCTATTTCTTACTGCAGCATAGCCTAACCCAGTGTTATTTAAAGTGTGGTCTGTGGACCAGTAAGCCAGTCTGAACTGTTTATCGGTTTATATCAGCAAAGTATAGAAACTGAAAGCACAGAAATGAAAACTTTTATAGCAAAATAACTTTATCTCTTGGATTGAATAAAAAACGAGGACTTTATTCCCCCTTTTTAAATTTCATCTTCATTTTTTTAAATCTTGCAGAACTTTTCACAACAATATCAGTCAACAGTGGATTAGATTTTATTTTATTTTTAAGATTTATTTATTTATTTATGATAGACAGAGAGAGAGAGAAACAGAGACACAGGAGGAGGGAGAAGCAGGCTCCATGCCAGGAGCCCGATGCGGGACTTGATCCCGGGACTCCAGGATCGCGTCCTGGGCCAAAGCCAGGCGCTAAACCACTGAGCCACCCAGGGATCCCAACAGTGGATTGGATTTTCAAAGAAAAAGGAAAGAAAGAAAAGTCCTTCATCAGTTTGAAAAGCAGTAACCTAACTGTATCCTGATACCTCTAGTAATTGGCAATGCCAGGATTTAAACCCACATCTGCCTGACACCAAAGCCCATATTCTTAACCATTATACTATATTTGTCTCTTATTACTTTGAACTCAAATCCCTGTACATAATCCCTAGCTCTGGAGAGCTGGACTGCACCAGGCACAAATCAAAAGGACTTTCTGTATGTGTGGCCTAAAGCATTCAACATGGAAAGCAAACCAAGCTGCCTCCTTGGCCCTCTTTCCCCAAGCTCATGCCCGAAACTTGGATCTCTTAATTTCTGATGATGCAAATAGAAAAGACAAAAATATATATATTTCTCCTCCAGGCCTAGGGCAGAGTCACTAAACAATACTATCTTCTTTAGGGACTATCCTGGTTTCTATGATGACCTCCTCTCAAGGAGGAGTAGGTCCCAGTCCTCTCCAACCACACTCCATGTATAGAGTACAGAATAAATGAATCCAAAATAAGAAAAAGCCACATGGACTTAAAAGCATTTAATAAAGTCTTCCCTTCTCAGACCAGTATCTCCACACCCTCTCAAAATGTTTAAAGACCTTGGACTTGACCCATCCATACTGCACATCCCCCACCTGTTTTCCTTTTTTGAACACAATTCTTTTTTTTTTTTTAAGATTTCGTTTATTGGGATCCCTGGGTGGCGCAGCGGTTTGACGCCTGCCTTTGGCCCAGGGCGCGATCCTGGAGACCCGGGATCGAATCCCACATCGGGCTCCCGGTGCATGGAGCCTGCTTCTCTCTCTGCCTGTGTCTCTGCCTCTCTCTCTCTCTGTGACTATCATAAATAAATAAAAATTAAAAAAAAAAAAAGATTTCGTTTATTCACGAGACAGGACAGAGAAAGAAGCAGAGACATTGGCAGAGGGAGAAGCAGACTCTTCGCAGGGAGCCCAATGTGAGACTCGATCCCAGGACCCCAGGATGACGACCTGAGTCAAAGGCAGATGCTCAACTGCTGAGCCACCCAGGTGTCCCTTTGACCACAATTCTTAATAAAAATGTTATAATCCAACCCCCAAAATTCATACTAAGTGCAGTATGTTGCTATTTTCTCTTTCTTTCCTACTTTTTAAAAATTATTAGAAGTCGACAAAATTGATTTCAAGACCCACTAATAGGGCTTAATCGGCAGGTTGTGAAAACACTGCTGTAGAGACCAACACTCTACATTTAACAGTATGCCCTCATCTAGCAAGCCTAACCCATAGTCATGCTACCTTAAAATTCTACTTCTCAAAAACATTTTTTTTCCCTACATCAGTTTCACGGTGCAATAAACCTAATGTCATTTGCAGCCCAAATTTAGTTGGGGGGGGGGGACCTATACACATTTTAAAAAGTTCATTTTGTCTCAAAATTCAGCAAAATACATAAATGTTAAAAGCTTTGATACCTCTAATCAAAAAGTGACGAGAGTGTATTGGCTCAAAATGTGAGACATGATTCTCGGTTGGTAATTTAGTCATAGAGCAGTACTCTACTGGCAGTTCCCAGAATAGAATCTATAGTGAATATGTGTTTCATCAAATTATGAGAAGTCTGAAACCAACCTGCTCTACCACTATCTTCACTCTGACTGGTCGATGGCATCTGGCCACTCCCCCATTCTTGAGACCTTGGAAACCACAGATCTAATTCTTCCTACTACCCACGCTTGTATGTGGGTCTGTGTTTTTGTCATTATCTCTCTACAGTTGTTCTAAGGTCTGTCAGGAGTCCTACTTTGGGTTAGACTAGACTGGAAGTTCTGGTGTAAACATATTAAGATCATTTCTACGAAAAAAAAAATGCACAAATGCAAACAACCAATTTTACAACAAGCTTTTGAAACATGATCTATTGATAACGCTACCTTCCACGTAGTTAACGTACTAAAAATCTTATCTCCACCAGATCAAAACCAGAAATTCTTAACTAAAATCACAAAAATATAATACCCTTTCTGTAAATCAAAATCCACTTGACATAAACACAAAATAAATTTCTATCATCAGTTATGATCTTCAGATCTGTAAGCTTAAGAGGGTGTGTGATGTTTTTTAATAACTATTAAGAAGACTTGGCTCCACCACGTTGTCCCATCACAGAAAGACACACTACTACTATACAGACCATCTAAGTGGCTTCCACATTTATTTCATAGCTGCACTCAACCCTATCTCCTCTGGCCCCACCCACTGAACAGCTGGGTGGGATGAAAGATGGTTTCCTGCCCTCCCCCTGCCCCTTCACTTGCTATTTGGAGGAATAACCAGATTAGAAATTGTTTTTATCCTGCTTAGGGCACCATCCTTTGGTCTACTGGGATTCCATAAATTTCATCCACACCTGTACACTTAATACCTAAAAAGTTTCCTCTTCAACTTGCTTCAATACTTGGGGAGGAGGAGACGACGACAAATGACTATACGCATCACGTAAATATGTGTACTAAAAAAAAAAAAAAAAAAAAAAAAAAGGTAAAATGCTTTCCAATCTAGATTATCTGTTCATTTAGGTCCTCCAGGGCAGTCGGGAAAGTACTCTTCCATTCCATCAAAATAGCACACCCAAAACAAACCCTAAAGTTCAACTAGAACCATAAACTCGCTAGAATCAGTTACTTCAGTAATCAAGCAAACACCTGGACGCCACAAATCCTTTCCCTACGCTGTATTTAAAAAAATCAAAAAAGAAAAAGGGAAAGAAAAAGGAAAAAACCAACACACACACACACACACACCCCAGCCAGACCTGAAACCGAGCACTCCCAAAACCTAACTTAGCAAATGGAAACGTGTCAGAAACCTCTCGGTTGCTTTATTTCCTTACTCTACGCACCGTAGGCAATGGAACTCGGGAGTGGAAAATGTGAATGAAACGGCCTTGTTCTTTTTCCAATACGTGGGGGAGGAAAGGAAATGAAAGGGCTTCTGGAGAGAAGAACTGAGAACACTGAAATACGTTCAAGAATCAACGTCCTTAAACATCACCGGTATTTCCAACTCCCTCCCTTTTCCAGCGACCCTCCCCACCCGTTCCATGCCTGGGGGCGCGGGGGACGGGGGTCCGGGGGTCCGGGGGAAGCCCTCCCCAGGCGTTCTCTTGCCCCTTTTTCCTAAAAATCAAGCCCAAAGCAGCGCCGTGGGTCTCCGCGCTCCAGCCTCGCCCGCCATCCACCGGCCTGCGGGGCCGCGCCTGGGGAAAGGAAACCCCGAGAGGCGAGGAGGAGCAGGAGGAGCAGGAGGAGCAGCAGCAGCAGCAGCAGCAGCAGCAGCAGCAGCGAGGAGGCGACGCGGCTGCTGGAGCCTCTGGAGCCTCTGCAGCCGCCGCCGCTCCAGCCTGGTGCATCCTCCTTCCTCCCTCGCCGCCGCCGCCGCCGCCGCCGCCGCCGCCCGGGCGCGCACACACGTCCCCACCCTCCTCGCCAGGCCCGCTCCCCACGAGCCGAGCCGCGCCGCGCCGCGGGGGCAGCGGCCGCCGGCCGGAGGAGACAGGGCCGCGGGCGGCGGCGGCGGGGGGCGGGGGGCGGGGGGGGCGCCCCGGGGGGCGGGCGAGGCCGCGGCTCACGTCCCCCCCGCCCGCTCCCGCGCAGGAAACGCCGCCGCCTCGGCTCTCCCCGCATTCAATTCAAACTGTCACCGCCGCCCCCTCCCCTCCCCCCGGGCCCGCCGCCGCCGCCGCCGCCGCCGCCGCCGCCGCGCCCCGGGCCCGCCGGGGCCCACCCCGCCTCCGCCAGCCCCCCGCATCGCCGCAGGGCGTTCCCCCAGCCGGGCCCGGCGGCGCGACCCCCCCCGCCCGGCCCCGAGCCCGGCGCCGCCGACCCGGAGCCGCGGCGGCCCGAAGCTGAGACTCACCCATGGTGCTGCTGTTGACGCTCCTCTCCTCAGCAGCAGCGGATCTCGCACTGACCGACATCCCCTCCCCCCGCCGCGACCAGCCCGGGCGCAGCGCAGCCCGCCGATTCTCCAAGGCCGCCTACGCCGGTTCCGCGGCGTAGCCGCCCCGCGTCGCGGCCCCGCTTACGCAGGCGACAGCGGGCGGACTCCTCCACTGGCTCGCGCCCGACTCCCGCTCCCTCCGCCGCCCCCGCCCCCGCCCCCTCCCCCCTCCGACCAGGCTTCCGGGCCCAGCCGACGCCAGCGCCGCTCTCGCGAGATTACCCCCGCCCGGCCCCGCCGACTCTCTCCATTTCGAACATGACTTCATCGGCATCGGCGCTCTTTCGCTGCCCAGGTTTAGCCGCCATGTTTGAACCGGCCGGGTCGGCCCCCTCCGCGGGGGGGGGGGGTGCGGGGGGCGTGGGTAGTCAGGCCTTTACGCGTGTTTCTTCGACACTGCTTCTGAGGTTAAAGCGCGTTCGGTGTGTGGGTGAAAAGCCTGGGGACGAGGAGAGGGAGTGGCCGGTGGGCGACGAGGGTGGGGTTTTGCCCGAATTAAAGATGGCCCCCGCGAGTGCCGCCCCGCGCGCCTGCGCGCCGGGCTCGGGAGCTGCGGAAGCGGCGGGGTCGGCCTGAGCGCGCTTACGGAGTTGGCGTAAAGCGAGGAGGCGCCGCGGGAAGAGGCCGGGCTGTGAAGCCGCTGCTCCGGGCGCGGGGTGGGGGGGGCGAGTCCGAGCCTCGCGTTCCAGCTGCCGACCTGGCGGCAGGGTGGGTGCGGGTGCAGACACTCCTGGAGGCAGGTGTCTGAGCCCTCCGTGCATCCGCGTGTGCTCAGCTTTCCGGGACTCCTGGGGGCGCTTGCCCCGGCGTCCGCCCGGCGCTGTCACTGCGGTGCCCTGGCGCTGCCCCGAGGTCGCCGGCTGCAGCTGGTGCTGCGGACTCTGCACGGCCACCCTCGTGCTAGCTCACCCCGTCGGTCCCGGGTTCCTCCCGGTGGAGCTGCATGCGCTCTGGTTGCAAAAAAAAAAAAAAAAAGAACGGGCACGTGTGGAACCCTCGGACGACAGAAAGCAATCAAGGACTGAAACTGGGTGGTGTCCTACTGTAGCCATAAATGTCGCTCGCTTTGCTGGAGTGTGGCCTCATCCTGCTCGGGACAACCCACGGCCTTTTGTACCTTTCTGGAAACCTAATGCCTGTCTTTGCACGTATGGCTCATGCACGTTAGTGTCTCTCCTGCTAAACCGCATGTTAAGGAATTAAATGTATCTAATATATTGTTACATAATGGATCACATGTTTATGATATATAAAGAATCATCACGAGCCCGTGCAAGACTGTTCATAGCGAAACAATGTGAATGTCCACTTAGAGGAGAAGGGACGAGTATAAGTCACGCTCTTGGTTGGACAAATCGACATACACGGGATGCTAAACAATGGAAATTGATGAACCAAGGCTGTTGGTATTGATTTAGAGAAAGTTCATTAACGTGATGTTGAGCAAAAAAAAAAAAAAAAAAACGAGTTGCAGAAAGATGTATATGGTATATCATAAAGGCTTAAAAAGGCAAAACTGACATCAAATTGGGGAAATCGTTGTAAGGAAATGATAGATAAATTCAGAATAGTGATTCCTTCCTGAGGAGAGAAGGGGGTGTGTGTAGTAGGGAAGGTTCACTCCTATCTATAATATTTAATTTTACGCCAAAAGTAATCTGTTGAAAATGTGACAAACCTTAAAGCCTAGGTCTAGGTGGAGGATACTTGGGTATTACATTGTCATTGTTTTCTCTACTCTTTTGAATACTTAAAATGTTTCCAAGTATTTTTTTTTTAAAAGGAAGGAAATTTTATCTAAGGAAACAGCTTATTTTGAGTCTTGTTATCTATGGTTTCCTTAGTCTCCACTTGTACTGAATTGCTCGTGAGTTCTGTTCACAGCTCATTTGTCCAATCATTGTCTTAATTTTCTGAAACTTCAAAAGGGCATTTTACTTTAGGAAATTTCATTAAATTTCTACCTTGAAAAGGCAGTATAGGCAGGAGTTTAAACATGTGACCTCTGAAGTCCGACTGCCTGGCTTCTAATCCCAGCTCCACCATTTACAATGGATATACCCAAGGACAAGTTACATAACCTTTCTGTAACCCAGTTCCTTCAGCTATAAATGGGGATAATACTTACCTGATGGAGTTTTGTTTTGTTTTTTTAAGATTTTATCCATTCATTCATGAGAGACAAGGAGAGAGAGAGGCAGAGATACAGGCAGAGGGAGAAGCAGGCTCCATGCAGGAAGACCGACGTGGTACCCAATCCCAGAACCCCAGGATGAAGCCCTGGGCCAAAGGCGGTGCTAAACCATTGAGCCACCCGGCTGTCCCTGATGGAGTTTTTTGTGCAAGTTAAATGTGCCCAGTCCATATTTTTATATTTAATAAATATATTTAATAAATATTACCTACATATACCACATTTTAAAATATAAAATTATCCAGAATACTATTATTGCTTAATACTCTATAATGAAGAAAACCCTTGCCTCCCATCTCTACTGATAAATTTCTTTGAGGTGGATCTTTTAATGGATATGAAAGAAATGAATTTTGTTATTTTGCTCAATGAACATGGATAAATTCTTTATATGAATAATAAGGTGTTTGCCTGAGGTTTCTTTTTTTTTTAATTTTTATTTATTTATGATAGTCACACACACACAGAGAGAGAGAGAGGCAGAGACACAGGCAGAGGGAGAAGCAGGCTCCATGCACCGGGAGCCCGATGTGGGATTCGATCCCGGGTCTCCAGGATCGAGCCCTGGGCCAAAGGCGGGTGCTAAACCGCTGCGCTACCCAGGGATCCCCCTGCCTGAGGTTTCTTCATGCTCTCCTACAAAGTAATAACTGCACTACTTTCCACTGAAAATTATGTGGAAGGTTATAAGCAACGAGATGACGACAACCTATAGAGTTTTCTCCAAAAGGAGTTCTAATAGTGTTATATAATTGTGTGTATGCACATGCACTCGTGTATTATAAATTTTATGTTGGGGGTGGAGAGAGAATTGTTGTATTGGTTTTAGGATCTCTAATGTCTGCAGTATTCTACTTGCTAATAAAAATAGTCTAGACCTTAACCTTCTGATTCAAAAACAGATTTTTTAAAAACTGATCTGAAATCCTGCATGGACATGATAGATTGTTTTTCGTCACATATTTACAGTGTCCGACCTCAAATGAGCCTTCAACTGTGCCACGCAACTTGCTTCCCTACTTAGCTCTCATTTTCACAGCAGCCACTTCAGATTTTCTCCGTTGTTTTCAATCCATCTCCCTCATTTATTCTCAGCAAAAAATAAAACCTATCAGAGAGGAACTCCCAACCACTTCCTACTTCCACATTTATAAGCCTACCTGCATCCACGTTTATACTTTTTTTTTTCCTTAAGGTTTTGTTTATTTATTCGAGAGAGAGGCAGAGAGAGAAGCAGTTTCCATGCAGGGAGCCTGATATGGGACTAGATCCCAGGACTCTAGGACCACGCCATGGGCCGAAGGCAGGCACTAAACCAGGCACTAAACCACTGAGCCATCCAGGGATCCTCAAGGCATAATTGCCTCTCGGTGGTTCCACTGCGGCTCAAACCCAGGACCTTCTGTGCATAAAGCAGATGTGCTAACCACTACACTATGGTACCTGTTTATACTTTCAAATGTCACAATGAAAAAGTGTCACCCAAATCTGAGGCACACGTTTCTACGTGTATCCCCTCTTTGGTGCCTATCCTCTGGATTCTGTCTCCTGCCTTCCCAGCAACTTCACTCAATTGATTATTTATTCAGTAAGCCTCAGGGTTCTGTACCACTCCACTGAAATTCTCAACAGGGTCACTAACAATCTCTTTGTTCAATTCAGTAGAACCATTTTCTTCTCTTTTTTTTCACATAATTTTTAAATATTTTAGTTCCAATGTAGTTAACATACAGTTATATTAGTTTCATGTGCACAATATAGTAATCCAACAATTCTATACATTATCCAGTGCTGATCATGGTAAGTTAATTCTTAATCCCCTTCACCTATTTCACCATCTCCCCACTCACCACTCCTCTGGTAACAGTTTATTCAGAGTCTCATTTTTGGTTTGTCTCTTTTTTCTTCTTTCTTTTTTTCTTTAATTCCACATATGAGTGAAATCATATAGTGCTTTGTCTTTCTCTAACTTGTTTCACTTTGCATTATACTCTTATAGTTCCATCCATATTGTTGCAATTGGCAAGATCTTTCTTTTTAATATCTGAGTAATATTCTATTTTGTATATATACTACATCTCTTTATTCATCTGTTAGTGGATACTTGGGCTGCTTCCATAATCTGAGTATTGTAAATAATGATGCAATGAACATAGGGGTGCATAATTATTTTCAAGTTAGTGTTTTCCTATTCTTTGGGCAAATACCCAGTATTTGGGTATTTGGGGCATATGGTAGTTCTATTTTTAATATTTTGAGGAACCCCTATACTATCTACTTCCAGTGGCTGCACCAGTTTGCATTCCCACCAACAGTGCATGAGGGTTCCTTTTTGTAGTGGATCCTTTTCCTTATTTTACTTGACATCTCTATAGCATTGGATACTAGTGACCATGGCCTGGTGCATTTACATCCTTTGATATGAAATCCACTTAGCTTTCCTTCTGGATCTCTGGCTTCTTTATTTTACCTCTAGGACCTCCAACTTCTGCCTGTCACTCAAATGTCCAGATACCTCAGCATTGTGTCTTGGTCAGTTTATTCCTACCTCATTTTTTTTTTTCCTATCTCTTTTTATACTACGGTGATCTCATTCACTTCCATGGCTTCAGTGACCATATATATGCTAATAACTCCGAAGTACAAATTTCTAGTCCAGTTTTCTCTCCTTACTACAAATCTGCATACATGACTGCCTTCAAAATACATGTCCTGATAGACATTGTATTGTATTTGGCATGCAACAAATGTCCTTCTAAATTCAGGAAGTCTACACACTTGTCTTATGTGCCCACTAAGAGAAGGGAAAATATATGTGGCCTTAAAATGTGTATCTTTGGGGCACCTGGGTGGTTCAATGGTTGATTGTCTGCCTTTGGCTCAGGTCATAATCCCAGGATCCTGGTATTGAGTCCCTCATCAGGTTCCCCTTAGGGAGCCTGCTTCTCCCTC